CCCAAATGAAACAACGGACTAGACTATATCAAATCATGTCTGCAAACTGTGAAGAGCAAAAGCTAAACAATGCCACCTAAAAATCATCTGAAACACTGTCTAAAGTATAGTACTATCTTCTCACTTCTGGGAAAGTATAGGAGAGATGGTCCTTCAAAAAGTAAAAAAAACAAAAACTTTCCATTTCTTAAAGAAGAGACCATCTTTTACTGAACCATAGGGAGGAGAAAAGGACTGGGACAGTAGTGACTGGAGGACTGTAATTTTGTTTGTACTGGCTGAACTTACAATACATAAAACTACAAAACTCCCCGACTTATGTCTTAATTTCCACTTTACAAGGGTGCAAAAGCAATATGCATTCGGTAGAAACCGTCCTGTTCTCTCGTGATGCTGGGCAGCGGCATCAAGCCAAAATTTTGACTTATGAGATTTTCGTATTACAATGGGTTTATCAGGCCATAACCTCCATCGTTAAGTCAAGAAGCCTCTGTATTTAAGTGTGTATTACCTGGGCACCCAACGGGCAAATCATGTTACCATTCCAAGCACTGGTTTCCTTAGCTATATGAATAAGGGAAAACTATTCAGATAATTTCTTTTTGGCGTTTCTTGTATTCCCTTGGGTGCAGAATCAATTACTTAGAACTCTGGCCTGGAAAGGTTTTCATTACATCACTTTACTCTTACGGTTTTTGGGAGCATTCATGTATCTCAATCACCAAAGTTTTGAGGTGAAGTACATAAAGTCAAGGCCAATCCATGACTAATTTATTCCAGAGGCGACACTACTCACTTGCTCCTGGAGATTTTTCAGAAGTGTCACGGCACTTGGCAGGTCTGACTCCAGCACCCCCTACAGAAGGGAGAGGAGGAGTAAAGAAAAGTCATTCTTTCCTCAGGATTATAAGAAGGCGGAACGTCTAGGTTGGGAAACTGCCCTCTCTCCGTCTGACACCCCAGACTCGGGGCCTTCACACTCCTCTTCACAGACTCGCCCTAAAGCCAGCCCCTTGAGTTACTGGACAGGAACAGTAACTCTAGGGAGGCCGCCTCCCTGAAGCAACTTTCATCACCACCCTTCCCTGGTACCAACAGTTTGCCTCCAGCCGCTGAAGGGAAAGGAAAACTCCACAATAGCTACGAGAGGAAGAAACCACATCAAACTCACCGGCGCCGCCATCTTCGCAAAGCCCACCCCTTCCGGTTCCGTACTTCCTGAGCGCTAAGGGCGTCTTGATAGATTTGATAGACAACTGCCGCTTGCAAACCTAAGCCAATACGAATAAGGCCTCTCTCACTTCCGCCCTCAACGGGATTAAACGAGAGGAGGAGTCTGATCTGGCCAATGGAATAAAGGAACTGGCTAAATTCGTCAGACTCAGCGATGTCAGGACCAAAAAAAAAAAAGCACTTGGCAAAGAGCGTGTGATTGGTAGACTGAGTAAAATGATTGACGGCAAGCCAATAAGAGATAGGCAAATAGTTGATTGACAGTTGGAAGGACCAATAGAAAAAAGGAATTAGCGGCGCGAACTTAGCGCTTATTGGCTCCCGTCTGCCGCAGAACCCAGAGTCTTTTTTCACGGCACTTTTCTTGTAGTGCCTGAACAGGCCGCTAGGTGACGGGCCTCGGCTTCGCTTTGCGGTGTCGACGTTGCGGAGCCGCCATTGCTGGCTGCTCATCCAACGGCCACCGCGCCAAATTCCTCACAGACCCGGTGGCCCTGGAATCGATTCTGTAACAATACTCCTTGTGTGACCGTGGACAAGTCACTCGGTCTCTGAGCTTTCTTCATCTGTAAATAAGAGAGCGGGGCCAGAGAAGCCCAGAGCCAGAGTAGAAACTGACTGCGAGGACACCTACTCTCTTGATGTGCACCGTGGGGCGCTGAGAAACGGCCCCGACACTCTTCGCTCCTACCAGTTGGGGACATGAAAAGAATGTTTTACAAGTTGGGGAACCGTTCATATTTACATGACTTACCCCGGTCACCCAGGTCTTCAGCAGCAGAACTTGGTTCAGACTCGAGCAGTGCATGTTTCAATATGACCTGCCTCATCATTACCCAATGCTTTCAGATGTGTTCACTCACTCTGGTTTTTCACAGGCTGGTGAAGTAGATTGGACGGATATTCATTGTTCCCATCACATGCCTTAGGAAATAAAGCACTGAAAGGGTGAATGATAGTGTATAATTTTTGTTCACAACCGTCTAGCAGAGCTGGGTCTAGAAATCAGATCTTCCTGACTTGAAGCTGCTTTTGGAATTAAGAATAACACCCGTATCTGGGCAGCTGGGGTGAGGAAATCCTGGTATCTAGGTCTTGCTGGAATCAAGAAAGCAGGAGGGCGTTCAGTCCCCACTCTTCTGACATTTATTTGCAGCTTCAGGCCTAGTGTGGAAGCTCAGGATGCTGTTGCAGCATACTTAGTCAATTATCCAGTAGCTTTTGTAATGTTTTATCAAGATTTGTATTATGAAAAGTTTCTGTTCCTACATAAATTTTCGGACCTGTCTAGTTAGATCAGCAATAAACTTTTTGGGGAACTTGAAATTTAGTTTGTTCATATGCTTTATGACATCAATGAGAAAACAAATTGCACTGCCATATTTTGGTCTTGATTTTTTTTCTTTTTTTTTTTTTTGAGACGGAGTCTTGTACTGTCGCCCGGGCTGGAGTGCAGTGTCACAATCTCGAATCTCGGCTCACTGCAACTTCCGCCTCCCTGTTCAAGCAATTCTCCTGCCTCAGCCTCCTGAGTAGCTGGAATTAGAGGCACCCGTCACCATGCCCAGCTCATTTTTTGTATTTTTAGTGGAGACGGAGTTTCACTATGTTGACCAGGCTGGTCTCAAACTCCTGACCTTGCCATCTGCCTGCCTCGGCCTCCCAAAGTGCTAGGATTACAGGCATGAGCCTCCACTCCCAGCCTTAATTATTAAAATAATTGTCCACCAGGAACGGTGACTTAAGCCTGTAGTCCCAGCTACTCTGGAGGCTGAGGCAGGAGAATCACTTGAGCCCATGTGTTCAAGGCAGCATTGAGCCATGATCATGCCACTGCACTCCAGCCTGGGTGATGGAGCAAGACCCTATCTCTAAAAAAAAAGGTGACAGAGGGGGACCCCATCTCTAAAAATCTAAAATATTTGTCAACTATAGGGGCAGAAGAGTGTGATACCTTTCCTCACCCATCATAAGGGTCATAGAAGACACTCCTATAACAAAAGACAAGTTAACAAGAAAAAAGTTCAATGAATTTATTTAAAGTTTTACCTGACACAGGAGCCTTCAGAAATGAAGATTCAAAGACCCAGGGAAAACTGTCCACTTTTATGGTTAGGTTTGGTGAAGAATGGACAGTGAGTAGAAATGTGACAGGACAAAAAGAGTATGATCTGACAGAAATAGACTGGGGGGGGAAACCCAGCAAGGCCTGTCTGTTCAGATTTTTCTTAGCCTCTCTAGATAACAATCCTTTTGGGTATAGGGAATGTGAAAGGAAAATAACTTGGGACCGCAGTTCACTATGCCAAAAGAAAAAAATTAAATTCAACGCAGTCATGCAAGCAACTGCCTTTGCTTTTGTTCCTAAGTGGATAGCTACAGATAAAATGTTAAATATCTCTACAAGGATCTACTGTGTGTTCACCTTATCTTGTGTGCCAATTTACTGAGCCTGAAACAAATACCAATTGACTATTCCCCTACCTGCTCCTTTTCTCTTGCAACATGTGGATTAGTGTACCCTCCCTTTTTCCCCTTCAGCTTACTTTTCCCCTTTTAATAGTGAAGCCCTGAAAGTCACATTTGGAAAAAGGCACAAGCCTCACTCCCAGACACGTCCTTAATCTTGGCAAAATAAACTTCTAAATTGATTGAGACCTGTTTCAGATACTTTCTGGTTTACAGGGAGGACCCCTCCAAAATGAGGATTTATGACTATCAAATGAGGAAGTCAGAGAATATTTTTTATGGTTAGCTCTCAGCAGAAAGGTGAGAGAAATTTAGAGTAGAATTTTTGTCTTATGGCAGGTTTGGGGGACAGAGGTTACAGTTTTTTTTGTTGTTTTGTTTTTGTTTTTAAGATGGAGTCTCGCTCTGTCACCCAGGATGGAGTGCAGTGGCGTGATCTCGGCTCACTGCAACCTCTGCCTCCTGGGTTCAAGCAATTCTTCTGCCCCAATCTCCTGAGTAGCTGGGACTACAGGCTTGTGCCACCATGCCCAGCCAATTTTTGTATTTTTAGTAGAGATGAGGTTTCACCATATTGGCCAGGCTGGTCTCGAACTCCTGACCTTGTGATCCACCAGCCTTGGCCTCCCTAAGGGCTGGGATTACAGACATAAGCCACCGTGTCCGGCCTTTGTCTTTGTTTTTTAGACGGATTCTTGCTCTGTTGCTGAGGCTGGAGTGACTGGAGTGCAATGGCACGATCTCGGCCCACTGCAGCCTCCACCTCCCAGTTTCAAGCGATTCTCCTGCCTCAGCCTCCCAAGTAGCTGAGATTACAGGCATCCATCATGATGCCTGGCTAATTCTTGTATTTTTAGTAGAGATGGAATTTCATCATGTTGGCCAGGCTGGTCTCAAGTGGCCTCAAGTGATCTGCCCACCTCGGCCTCCCAAAGTGCTGGGATTACAGGTGTGAGCCACCAGGCCCAGCCGAAATTCTAGTTTCTGTGGCTTGCCTTGGAGCAGAAGGAAGGGCAGCAGACAGGAGGGCAGGAGAAGGTCAGAGAAAGACTTTGCTTCTGAGGCTGCTTCTAAGGCCTTCCAATCTCCTTTAGTTCAAAGTGCTTAGCATGCCAAAGTGCCATACTCTGGAGTATCGTTTTCTGAGCCCTGACACAACCATTCTTTTTGTTACAAGATAATCTTGGAGCTAACAGTACAATAAATCTTTGTAAAGCTCTTCTACCACTCAACCAACAAGCATTGGCAAAGAATACAAGATCATTAATTTTATTGTCTTCTATTTCTTTTTCTTTTTTTTTTTTAGATGAACTTAAATGGCTTTATGGGATGGAGAACTTACTTTTGAAAGTGGTAACAGGTACATAGGTAACCAAAGTATAGAACTTATTTGGTGAATCTTCATCCTCATTACGTTTTCTGGACAGCCGCACACGGATTCGGTATGGGACATTCCTTATTCCTTTGGGCCAGACAGCTTTGTTGAGCCTTGTATCAATGCGCACATCTGGAGTTCCCATCTCCTTCATGGCAAATTTCCGAATCTCTTTGAGTGCCCGAGGGGCACGCTTCTTGAAGCCCACTCCATGGATGCACTTGTGAATGTTGATGGTGTATTCTCGGGTCACCACCTTGTTGATGGCAGAACGGCCCTTTTTCTTCTCGCCACCCTTCTTTGCGGGAGCCATTCTGCCGGGTTCAAGTTGGAAAGGAAGCTTGTCTTCTATTTCTTTCAACAGTTTCATAAACAGGCAATCGTCCATAATATTTCAAGTATACACTGAGAAAAATTGTTAACATCTATACTGAGATTTAATACACATACCATACAATTCACTATTTAAAGGATACAGTTCAGTGGGGTTGGGCATGGTGGCTTGCACCTGTAATCCCAGCACTTTGGCAGGCTGAGGCAGGAGGATCACTTGAGGCCTGGAGTTTGACACCAGCCTGGGGAGCATAGTGAAGAAACCTGCCTCTACAAAAAAAAAAAAAAAAAAAAAAAAAAAAAAAAATTGTTTTGATTTAAAAAATCATAAAATTCAGTGGTTTTTAGTATATTCACAGAGTTGTGCAAATATAACCATAATAATTTTAGAATGTTTTTACAATGTTCTAAAAAAAACCCAGTACCCATTAGTAGTCACTCCCCTTTTTTTCCCCAACCCTCTAAACCTCAGCTCTAGACAACCACTAATCAGCTTTGTATCCCTGTAGCTTTGTCTATTCTGAACATATCCTTAATGTGGAATTATGCAATGTTAGTCTTTTGTGACTGGCTGCTTTCACTTAGCATAATGTCAAGGTATCCATATTGTAGTGTATATCACTACTTTATTCCTTTTTACTGCTGAATAACATTTCATTGTATGGATATACTACATTTTATTTATCCATTCATCAGCTGATGGACATTTCGGTTGTTTCCACGTTCTGGTTAAGTAGTGCTGCTATAAACATTTATAGCTAAATTCCTATGGGAACATATGTTTTCATTTCTTTTGGGCTTACATCTAGGAGTAGAGTTGCTGGGTCATATGTAACTCTATGTTTAACCATTTGAGGAACTGCCAGACTGTTTTCCAAAGGGCTGCACTATTTTACATTTTCACCAGCCATAAAACAGTTCCAATTTTTCCACATCCTTGCCAACATCTGCTATAATCTATAGTCTTAATTATAGTTACTCTAGTGAGTTACAAAGCAGTGTTTATTGAGATTTTGATTTGCATTTCCCTAATGTCTTATGATGTTGGACATGTTTTCATGTGCTGATGGGCCATGTGAATATCTTTGAAGAACTCTTAGCTGGGCTTAGTGGCTCACGCCTGCAATCCCAGCACTTTGGGAGGCTGAGGCAGGTGGATCAAGAGGTCAGGAGTTCAAGACCAGCCCGGCCAATATGGTGAAACCCCATCTCTACTAAAAATACAAAAATTAAGCTGGGTGTGGTGACACATGCCTGTAGTCCCAGCTATTGGGAGGCTGAGGCAGAAGAATTGCTTGAACCCGACCCAGGAGGTGGAGGTTGCAGTGAGCTGAGATCTCACTAATGAACTCCAGCCTGGGTGACAGAGCAAGACTCCGTCTCAAAAAAAAAAAAACAACAACAAAAAAAACTGTCTGTTCAGATCACTTGCTCATTTTTAAATTGAGTTTTCCTTTTATTATTGGTCGTAAGCGTTATTTCCATATTCTAGACACAAGCTCCTTATTAGATACATGATTTGCAAATATTTTCTCCCACTTCATTTTGTCTTTTCACTTGCTTAATGGTATTATTTGGAGGACAAAAGTTTTTAAGTTTATTTTGTTTTGTTTTGCTTTTTGAAACAGAGTCTCGCTCTGTCGCTCAGGCTGGAGTACAGTGGTGTGATCTCGGCTCACTGCAACCTCTGCCTCGCGGGTTCAAGCAATTCTCCTGCCTCAGCCTCCCGAGTGACTGGGATTGCAGGCATGCACCACCATGCCTGGCTAATTTTTTGTACTTTTAGTACAGATGGGGTTTCACCATATTGGCCAGGCTGGTTTTGAACTCCTGACCTCAAGCGATCCACCTGCCTTGGCCTCCCAAAGTGCTGTGATTACAGGTGTGAGCCACCATGACCTCCCTGCTTCAAGTGCTCCTGCAGCCTCAGACCCCCATAGCTGGGACTACAGGTATGTACCACCACACCCGACTAATTTTTGTGAGTTTTTTTTTTTTTTTGTAGAGACAGATTTTTGCCATGTTGCCCAGGCTAGTCTCAAACTGTTGGTTCAAGCAATCTTCCTGCCTTGGCCTCCCAAAGTGCTGGGATTACAGGTGTTAGCCACCATGCCTGGCCAAGATTTTAATTTTTATGAAGTCCAATTTACCTTTTTTTGGAGGGGGGGAGTATTGCTTGTGTTTTAGGTGTTATATCTAAGAAATTGTTGCCTAATACAAGTTCATGAAGATTTACACTTATGTTTTCTCCTAAGAGTTCAAAAATTGACTCAAAATGGATCAAAGACCTAATGTAAGATCCACTTTGTCAATTTTTGTGTGTGGTGTGAGGTAGGGTCTGCCCTCATTCCTTTGCATGTGAATATTCAGTTGTTCCAGCAACATTTTTTGAAAAGACTGTTCTTTCCTTGTTGATCATTTCCTCAAGGGTCTTGGGACCCTTGTTAAAAATCAGTTGGCCATAAATGGCCGGGGGGGTGCAGTGGCTTAGACCTGTAATCCCAGCACTCTGGGAGGCCGAAGCGGGCAGATCACTTGAGGTCAGGATTTCGAGACCAGCCCGAACAACATAATGAAACCTGTCTCTACAAAAAAAAAAAAAAAAAAAAATTAGCCAGCTGTGGTGGTACACACCTGTAGTCCAAGCTATTCAGGAGGCTGAGGTAGGAGAATAGCTTGAACCCAGGAAGTGGAGGTTGCAGTGAGCCAAGGTTGTGCCACTGCACTTCAGCCTAGGCAACAGAGTGAGACCCTGTCTCAAAAAAAAAAAAAAAAAAAAAAAATCAAAAATCAATTGACTATAAATGTACTTGTGTATTTCTGGACTCTCAATCCTATTCCATTGATCTATATGTCTCTCTTGATGCCAGTACCACACTATCTTGATTACTGTATATTTGTAATAAGTTTTGAAATTAGGAAGTGTAAGTCCTCCAATTTTGTTATTACTTTTTTTAATAGAGACAGCTTTGCCATTTTGACCAGGCTGGTCTTGAACTCCTGGCCTCAAGCAATCCACCAGCCTCAGCCTCCCAAAGTGCTGGGATTACAGGCGTGAGCCACAATCCCAGTCTAACAATTTTGTTGTTTTTCAATATGATTTGGCTATTCTGGGTCCCTTGCATTTCCATATGAATTTTAGGATCAGCTTGTCATTTTTTGTCCAAAAAGGACAGCTGGAATTTTGATAGGTATTGCAGTGAATCTGTAGATCCATTTGGAGAGTATTTCCATGTTAATTACACTAAGCCTTCAGATCTATGAACATGAGACCAGGACTAGGAAGCCCAGGATGTCCACTCTTGCCACTTCTATTCAACATTGTATTGGAGTCAGGGCAATTAGGCAAGACAATGAGATCAAAGGCATCCAGAATGGAAAGGAAGAAGTAAAATTCTATTTGCAGATGACATTATTTTATATATAGAAAATTTCCATTTGTTTAGGTCTTCTTTAATTTCTTTCAACAATATTTTGTAGGTTTTAGCGTATAAGTTTTGCATTTCTTCTGCTAAATTTATTCTTATGTTTTCAAAATTATTTTTCATGTCATATTATGTTCCTATGACTGCTTTTACAAATTACCATAAACATGGTGGCTTAAAACAACAGGAATTTATTATGTCATCATCCAGGAGGCCAAAGGTTCAAAATCAGTTGAATCTGTCTGAAATCAAGATGTTAACAGGGCCACACTCCCTCTGGAGTCTGTAGGGGAGAACTTGTTCATTGCCCCTTTCAAGCTGGTGGCCATGTCACTCCAGTCTCTGCCTCCTTGGTCACATTGCCTCCTCTTCTGTGTTGTCAAATCTCCTCTGCCTCTGTTTTATAAGGACACTTGTGATTGGATTTAGGGCCCACTTGGATAATCCAGAATAATCTCCCTAAGGTAATCCCCTGGATTTTATCACATTTGTAAAGACCCTTTTTTCTTATAAGGTAACATTTCCAGGTTCTAGAGATTAGGACTTGGTATTTTGGGATGGCCATTATTCAGCTGTTGCAGATCCTATTGTAAATGGAATTGTGTTTTAATTTTATTTTTTGATTGTTCATTCCAGTATGTGGAAATCCAATTGATTTTTGTATATTAATCTTGTGCCCTGCAACTTTGCTGAACTGATTTATGTTTTTTGTTGTTGTTTGTTTTGAGACAGTCTTACTCTGTCACCAAGGCTGGAGTACAGTGGCACTGTGTTGGCTCACTGCAACCTCCGTCTCCTGGGTTCAAGCAATTCTCCTGCCTGAGCCTCCCGAGTAACTGGGATTACAGGCGTCCACCACCACACCCTGTTAGTTTTTATATTTTTAGTAGAGATGGGGTTTCACCATGTTGGTCAGGCTGGTCTTGAACTCCTGACCTCGGGTGATCCACCCACCTTGGCCTCCAAAGTGCTGGGATTACAGGCATGAGCCACTGCGCCCAGCCTAGGTGAATTCATTTATTATTCTAATTGTGTTTTAGTGGATTCCTTAGAATTTTCTATATATAAAATAATGTCATCTGCAAATAGAATTTTACTTCTTCCTTTCCATTCTGGATGCCTTTGATCTCATTGTCTTGCCTAATTGCCCTGACTCCAATACAATGTTGAATAGAAGTGACAAGAGTGGACATCCTGGGCTTCCTACTCTTGATCTTATGGGGAAAGCATTAAGTCTTTCACTATTAAGTATTATGTTAACTGTGGAGTTTCAATAAATGCCCTTTACCAGGCTGAGGAAGTTTCCTTCTATTCCTAGTTTGTTAAGTGTTTTTATTCTGAAATGGTATTATATTTTGTCAAATGCTTTTTCTACGTCTATTGAGATGATCATGTGCTTTTTGTTCTTGATTCTGTTGCTAATGTGTGTTATATTAATTGACTTTCAAATGTTAAGCTAGCCTTACATTCCTGGTGTAAATCCTAGTTGCTCAGGGTGTATAATCCTTTTTATGTGTTGATGGGTGCAATTTGCTTATACTTTGTTAAGAATCTTTACATCCATATCCATAAGAAATATTGTTCTG